TATCGTTTCTAACTTCTCACTCACAGAAGGTGCAGCTGATGCCCGAATTTCCGGACGAGCCAGGCAAACATCGATAGCCATGCTCTGTGTGTGTCTACGAGCCGGGCTCTAATAAGAAGCACCGCGGCTTGTTCCTCCGTCGCAGACCGGCGCCGGCGCCTCTGCACTTGGGTGGGACAAGCCTGGCTTGAGATCTCATAGTCTTTTGACAACCACCAGCTGCACGTTACTAAAGTCGGATTCAACATGAATGAGGTGAACAAGCAGCCCCCGTACCTGACAAAGATCCCTGGAGCTTTTTCGGCAGGCCTCGCGGGGTCACTGAGAATCAAAACTCGAACTATGCATTCTCTTTGGGGAAACATCTCAACATGCAACGCAACAGACATGCCACAGGGGCGTTTGGAGAGGGTACATCCTCCTACATTCGCCGCCCATTGATGCGCATGCAATCCGCACGACAGAGGTATATCCTCTTCTCTCGGATGCTGGCTGAGTTACTACGACGCCTACCCCCTCTCGTCCCATTACAGTTGTTCTTTGACCCTGACTGAGTGATAGGTTTGCAAGGAGTCCGTCTTGGGTGGCCCCTCACCAGTCATGATGCTTGTCGCTACCCTCGTGTACTCCCTGGTGACTGGACGACGTCCAACACCACCTCAGTGGTTGCAGAGTCTTTGTGGCCTTACCTTCCCGTGCTAATTGACCGCGTCTCTTACATGACATGTCTGGGGCTCGGTACCTCAAATCTTTGCTGTAAATGCAACCACTTTGGCCCGCTCCATCCATTCGGTTGTCTGGCAGTCTGGCAGGGGAAACGCGGGTAAGACAACCCTCATTCGCGTGTGGCTCACGGAGATGTAGTGTCGATGGCGAACAGGGTCGTTTGAAGTTGCAGGGATCTTAATGACCTAGCTGGGCTCATCAATTCGAACGCAATGGACGGAGCAGCAGTGCCCCTGCGCGCAGCGTCGCCCAGCCATTCGGCCGGCACGATCGGCGTGGCCCATGACGCCGCTGTATTACCGATGTTTTGTCATTTGAAGTGTCTCCGTTGTTGCTGCCACGGCCGGAGACCTTGTCGAAACGGGCGTGCCACTCACCCACCCTCATCCTCAGTCAGAGGTGCATCCATTCCTTAAGCGCAGCGCCCACTCCTTTACCGAACCAGCTCGTGACTGGGACAGTGGATAAGCTGGACGGAGTTGTGACGACGATCCGGTCAAGCAGCCACAGAGTCCAAGCTGATAGGTAATGATACAAAGGCTGGCCTGTGCATGACGTGCCTCGACGGAATGCGTAGCTTTTTGAAGCCTCGAGAACAGCCAGCTCTTTTTCGGTACCCCGTTTTTGTCTATGACTATCTCGTTTGCGACGGTTGCTCACCAAACTGCCTTCGCGCAACAGCAAGTCCTCTGACGCAGGGAAATGGCGAGCCCCAAGCCGCCGTTTCATCACGATGAAGAGACAAACGCAAAGGGCGTCGGCCGGACGGAGCCACGGAATCATCCAAGTTCCTTTGCCCAAGGATCGACCGTGGACTATTTGTATGCTCTTCCCTAGCGCCTTGCCTTACTGGTTCAACCATGAGTACGGATACAATCCATTGGCCGATTTCAACATCGGAGAGATCAGCCACCGCCTTGGCCAAGCATCTAGGAACTTAGGAAGTCGTCAAATTGACAGCCTTGTCCAGCAGCTGCAGCAGCAAGCAAGTAATGCTCAATGCTCTCGGCTTTGGTGAAGCGCTACTCCATACATCAACGATGCTTCGTCTTGACTCTCGACAGCTCCCGATAGACCAACACCTTTGCTGGAGATACATCACATTTTGCTTTGAAGTTGATCTTACAGACCTTCTGAGAGAGGTGCGAGGTAGCTGATGCGTGCGCTTCTCGCCCCGTTGGCAGATTTGCCGGCGCAGCAAAGCAAAGCGAGAATAGTATGTTATTTGATTTGCTAGCCGAGCTAACCACCTCTATCAATTCAAGCCAGGGCTCAGCATTTCTGCCGCGTTCTATTTTGGGTGTGAAGGAGGAGATCAAGCGACCAAGGCTGCCGTTGCGTTGGCGACGAGAGTGAGACTGACAGACTCCTTAATCCTCCCAGCTCGATTGCAATTTGGGATCACTCTACTCCGTATTGTTGCTTCATTTCATTTAATCGCTTTGCACGACAAGGGGTTGACCGACGGGCGAGAAAACGGCGGACAGAGGACCAAAGACAGCAATGGTGTCCTGGCAACCCTGGTCCGGCTACAACCACGAATGAAGGAAGCGGCATTGCACAAGACAACCTGGATCAGAACAGACACTGCGGCAATATCGATTCGGCCGGCCAGGGGACGATCCTCTCCCGCGCATTTGAGAACGGGACCTGGTCGGTGCAGCCGCCCACACGACCTTGGAGTTGGATCACCATTCCTTTCTCAGCAGTAGGCGTTGTCTCAATGCCTCGCAAGAGACTAGGATAAGGCGAGGAGGGGTTTTGGGGTTCTTGGATAGACCGCAGTTCGCAATGCTACATACACAGCGCGCAAGGCATATGATTAATGTCAACGCAGGACCGAAAGGGTATGGAGATTTCTTAGTGGAGTTACCAGCGCAGCAGCGGCCATACCGACCTTGGCTTGCTCCATCCCACCTACCAAGCGCTCTGGAAGCCTTGGGTACGGAGTACACATTCGCAACACAGGACAGGACCCTGCAAACGGACTTTTGGCGGCGTACACGGCAATACGTGTGCTATCCGGACGGAGCGAGGCAAGGGACAAGATAGTATTGGTTCCCCACCATGGCCACGACACCACGACACCAGCGATCACGACTAGCACGCACCGACATCTAGATTACAATTAATACCGAGTCAATGGCAAACAGGCGACAAGACGGTGCGGTGCCGTCAGCAGGCATGTTTCTGATGCGGGACACAAGGTGACACAAGCGACCATACCTCACGTCGGCCTTGTGTTGCTATCTTTGCCCTTGGCTGAGGAATTGACTTGTATGCAAGCAGCAGGACTGAATTGGATCAACCATTTCTTCGCCCACAACTCGAATGCCAATACCTGCCTCGTTTTTGCATCGAACCATGGCAGTTGGGGCACGGATATGGGAACTGCTACTGCACTAATGCCTGGGTTCAGTTCCTCAGGCTGGATCGTCTGGGATTTTAAGACTTCTGGAGATCTGACCTGCTGTACCGTAGCCTGTGCACAAATGAGGGCAACGGCGTCGACTTCGGTTTCTTTGAGAAGCTGATGTATCATGTGCGGATACGCAACAAGGTCACGAACGTGCAGTGTTCATTCTGTCTGGCCCGCTGCGAACCTGTGGCATCTATTCGATACGTATGACAACGCAAATTATCGTGGAGCCACTACTACCTTTGATGGGATGGATTGGAAGCATACGCTCCAAAGTTTCGCCGTGTGGTGAGACAGTACAGAATCTTGAGGTATCTGTACATGTCAGAGTCAGGGACCTGGGCGATACCGAAACAAGGCTATGCCCGAACAACACCACACACCACACACCACACACCGTACGCGCAACGGAAGTCACTTTGAACTTTTGAACTGTTTTCGGTCCAGGAGGGTTAGGTGTGCTTGAGTCGATACAGCTCAAAGCCTGTGAAGGTGGGAGGGGACGGAAAGTCCCGTCCAACAACCGTATGTTGTTCGAGCTGCGTTTCTGCATCATTTGGAGAAGTTAAGATTCTGAACACGATTTGGCATTGTGAACGCAGACGCACAAATCACGGGCTGTTTAGGATATTTCTCTGACGAGGTCGTCATGTCGTTGGATGTATGCGAGGGCGCAGGCGAATCCTTCTTGGAAACGGATGCTGACTTTTCATCCCGAAATCTATGCTACAGCATGCGGCACGACGGAAGCCGGCGGGCGTAATCTGCCCCAAAAACGACGACCGAGCAAAAGGACGCCCGCGTTCCCGAACGGGGTTAAGAGGAGAGGAATTCATATCATGAGCCGAGGAGCATTACGACGGGGAGTAAGCCACTTCGCGGAAGTTGATGTTACGAATGGGAAGCCAGCCGTAGATGGACCGACCACCCAGAGGCGCTGCAGCGGCTAGTGATTCAAGAACGAATGGAAAGCAAGGGCACTCGGATTCAAGGCAACGCGGACAGCCACGCCATCCAAGGTTACCTTGAAGACAGCTAAGTAGGCGAAAAAGCATTGCATGGCCCATGTAAGCTGCTTCGCCTACTGTGGTGCGCACCTCAGGCTTCAGCCAAGCACCCAAGGTACTAGCAGGATGCGGGTGCTCTACGGAGTACAGGGCACTCGTAAGAATAGAGCTCAAAACGAACGAGGGCCGAAAGAGTTTGGTGTGGGGTTGGTGCCGCATGGTACGGAGTGGGCGTGAGTGTGGGTTGTGCTTGGGATTGGGATGGGACGAGATGCAGCGCACGAAGTACCACTCTTGTGTGCCAGTCATGCCGATGGACGGGCTGCGGTGATGATGGCTGACGATGGATGGGGTTCGCTGCTGCGCTAGGAAGCCCACCGATATTGTACACAGCGCAGCGCAACGTCCCTCGCCGGTCCTATTCCGTTCACCTCAAGGTACGAGGATGCACAAGCCGAGCACCTCACACACCCAGCGACCCAGGCACGCCAGGTCAAGCCTACCGCGTACACAGCACAGAGATGCGCTACCTCTATTATCTGACCTACGGATACCGTTGGACTGCTCCGGAACCGTTCACACTTGACGGTGCTTGAGGGAAGTGAGGCGTCTGAGCCTCTGAGACGGTTCCCTGCGGTCAAGGTAGGCGAAGCCATCGTCAGCGGGCAAGCGAGCGTGGTGAGAAACAGCTGTTGGTTGTTTTCGGCTGATGCTCATTTGCTGATGATAAGTATCCAAATGGCTAACTGCGATTATCACTAGAGCATCACAATGTCGGCACCTATTCGCAAGAAGCGACCCGTTCGTGACGGAAGGGACAAGTATCCGTACCCGGCAGGCTTTCGAAACGGACAGGCACGCCTGGATTCCGGTGACCTCTGCTATTGACTGACCAAAGACGCCCTCTGGTCTCTAGTTACCGTTGTGGTCTAGCAAGCGGATGTGCAGTTCTCATCTTGCATGCTGGCCTCTCCCTGTCCTGCCCGCTTGTCTAGTCCCTGGCAAACGTACACACGGGAAAACTGCGAAGCTGGATGCTCACTGCCCGCTGCTCGCCGCCATGCTGTGGTAGGTCTTCGCTTCCTCCCTGTGTGCGGCATGCCTCCCCCCTGTCGACCACGTACGGCTACTTCGTACAGCAGAGTCGGAGTCGTAGTCGCACCCAGGACCAAAGAAAGGGCCAGTTGACAGCCCCGCTCCACCCGACCCCAAGACCCAAACCACGTCCAAGACCCTGCCCTAGAATTCTCAATCAGCGCCGCAGATGGAAAATGAGGGTGAGGGGTGCTGGCCCGGCGGTGGTGCAGGAGAAAAAAGGGGGGCAAGTGAGGTGGAGATGGGCGTGGGAACGGGAAGCTCGAGGAGAGGCAGCAAGAGAAGAAGTTGAAAGGGGGTGTATGAATATTAAGACTCGTCTCTCGCCTTCTCCTTGAGGCGTGGACGAGTTCTTGAGTTTTTGGTACGAAGCACCTAGCATAGCCCGGCCCATTGATTGGCTGGAAGGTTAAAGACGGAAAGGCAAAGAGGTGCCCGGCGGATGGGCGCACGGGAACTGGAGAAGCATCAAGCATGCCTTTCCCTCCCTCTGGTTCCGAGGTTGCTTATTAGAGCCTGAGAGAGAAGTTGAGTCTCGACATTTGGAGTCTTACAGGAAGTGAGTAAGTACTTAGGTACTCCGTAACTCTCTTCGCTTTGCTGACTGGGGGAGAAGTGAACGAGGGGTGGATAAGGTAGGTAGTGGCCGATTCGATTCGATGGGATCGGTACGATACAGACATCAAGATACAGGACGATACAGGAACACTTGGAAGAAGAGGCACTTTCAACTCTCGTACTCACGACAGCGGAGAGACAGGTACCTTTCCCTCGTCACTTTCTTTCCCGCTCTCCCCCTGTCAAGCTGGGCTCTGGGTGCCTGTGGGTACGGAGTACTTCATACGGATTACGGAGCAGCGTCTGGTCCTTTCTTTTCCCTTTCTTGCACGTTCACGACTCTCGAATGGCGTTCCACTTAGCCCTCCACATAGGTAATATTCCCTGCCGTGCTTGCGAGCTGGTCTCTCTCTCCTCTCGGTACGATGCTACGGATGACACCTCAGAAAAAATGGTGGTGGTGGCCTGGTCCGGCCTGCAACAAGCCTGAGGTGTGGTGCTTCCTCCACTGCATCTGCTCCCCCTCTGCTGGGGCAATAACTGAGACCAAGACAGCCTGATAGGCCGGACTGGCCTGATTAGCTCAAAAGTGGATACCAACCCTCAAGATTTATGGAGGATCTGGAAGAAGGAGGAAAAAACGACCACTCAGGTGCCACTCCACCATCACGGAAAGAGGGACAGAAACTCGCATCGTCCTTTACGCCAGTGGCAGTTCCGTCCACTGTCAAGGTCTGAGTCCACCTCTTTTTGCAACTTTGCACATTTGATTCAGACATGATTTTTTTTTCATCCCCTCGACTTTTGAAGTTCGGTTGTTTTTAAAACCCACGCCCCTCGCAGTTCACACACCCTTCCGATGCTCTCTCTGGGCACTTGTTTAGGAAATACGCCCCATACCCCACGCCCGCGCCCACGCCTACAGAGGACTCAGCATCGAGCAGTTGTCGTACACCTCATGCGGCATGCTCACTTCCCACACCAAATCTCAGGCTCGGGGACTTGCTGCTTCATCGCCGCCGCGACGCCGCCCTCACATGGTCTGGCTTTATTACCGCACCTGAGCTGAAGGTGGGACTGAAGCGCTAGGTAAGATTTGGATTGGTACCGGGGCCTGGGAAAGAGTCTGGCAGAGACCTCAGACGGGGGAGGCGGACTGGGGCACTTGGACGCCGAGGGACCACCAGTCCACCACCGCCGACCGGGCTGGGCTGGTATTACGTCTGCCCGATACGCTGTGCTAGTCCTGCTGAATCACATTGAACATTGACGACGGGGCAAAGCATTCTGTCGTGGACTCATGGTCGGGGTCATGGTTACAGTCGCGGTCATGACAGGGGACGTCCTCACAATCACTCTATAATGGGGACCAGGCTACCTGGGAACGGCACTTCGGCCTACGACGGGGGCTGGCTGGTTAGAGCCTTGGACATTCGGTCTGGCAACTTCCAGATTGTCTGTCACTCATTCTGCGCCTAACTGAACCATGTCATGTCATGCCTCCAGGCTCCATCAGTCACGATACTTTGGATGCCGTTGATCCGTGCTCTGAACGGAGTATTTCCTACGAGCCTACTATTCGTACTCTTCTGAGGAGTGAGGAGTGAGGAGCGAGGAGAGGAGAGGAGGGCTAGAGAGCTCTGGAGCTGCGTAGGCTTGCTTGGCTTGGCTGGGCTTTCTTTCGCGCGCCTTGCCGTGCCTTGTCTTGCGATTTTGCCTGCCTGTGTGTCGAAAGATGCACATACGCGGCGCCTCCCCATGACCATGGCCGACGCTGGTTGAGGTTGGGAACTTGGGATTGGTGCTGGGTCAATCATGGTGGATGGCGTTGGTGCCGGTGCGAGATGCAAGTGCATTGCCGCAAGGCAAGGTACGTATCGAATTTGTATTCCGCCTACCACTCTGGAAACTGGAACCCCTGAGGCATATGTCTTTTTTGGTGGCGCAACGCGAGAAAAGGTAGGTACTCGCACGCCCCATGTGCTGAAGAGAGAAAAGGTAGGCACCAAGCGGTAAGTACTTTGCACTCCTCCTCTTTCGGTCTGTCCTCGCGCATTCTGCTTCCCCCCCTTCCTTCCTCCCTCTCACCCTCTGGGCGGAGACCCACCTTAAGGGTGCCCCGCGACATGGTTGGCCCAAAGTACTTTGCGTACCTGAGCCAAACTGGCTTTAGTCCCTTCCTTGAATCCTTCCTGACTTCCGCATTTCTTTGCGGCTTGTTTCCATAATCGGCTTGGTTGTGGTTGCTTGCTGAGGGGCGGGCGGACTGGACGGGCTGGCTGGCTGAGGGGGGACACGGGGGGGAAAGACTGGCTTCAGGTTTGTTTGCCTGCTAGGTTCCTTCCCTACTCCGAGGTATTCGCACACGTAGTGCTGCTCTTGCCAGTGTTGTGTGGCTGCAAAGAAGTGTACGGATAGGTACCTTGTGGAAAGTAAGCTACTTTGTGCAGTGGTTGTTCTCCAGGCGACACTTCCCAGTACGGATACCTTACGGTCCTTATTACCACAACCTGCCTTACTTGGAGGGGCACAAAGTCAACTACAGATCATGGATACAGACGGACTCTCAGAGCAAAGGTATCTAATTCTGGGGTCATGTTCCTTGTCAGTTGCCTTCTTTCCTGGAGCCCCTGCTCCCCCCTCCGCTGGCCGTGTTGGTGCTTGTTGGTAACTTGGTGTGTGCTGGTGCCGCCGGTGCTGGAGCTTCCCGGTTGAGGTGAGGTGCGGCTTCGCTCTTTCTTTCTTTGCTCCTCAGACCTCCACAGCTGAGCCTGCGCTTGCGGATGGGTTGTTTTATTTGTCGGAGACCCGGTACCCCGTCAGGCAGGTACCAATGGACAGAAGCTGGTCTGTCGGTAAGTATCTTTTTTTTTTTTTTTTTGCCCATCTCACCTCCCCCCCTTCCCCTCCAAACCAAAGACTAGGGACAGGGCACGTCGCACGCCGCACCGCAGGCCGCACATGGAACAAGGTACCTTGGTCCCCTCTCCTCCCATGTCCCACCTCCCGTCATCCTCAATCCCCATATTGGAGGGTACGAAGGTACATTCCATCCATCCCTCCATGTCCCATGCTGGCTGTCCCGGGTCCCGCCCGTCCTTTCCTGTCCTGCCACCTGCTTGCCCTTGCCCAAACCCCCAATCCCAATCCCATGCCTTCCACCATCCATCCACTATGACCACAGACCTGACCCAGACGGGGACCCATAACCAGGGCGCGCGCGGATACGGATACTTCTCTTCTCACACTGCTCTCGTACAAGACATCAATACCTAGTGACCTTCCTTCCAATCTGTGGATGACCGGTACATGCGCTACTGGGGCCTAGGCTGGGAACTAGGTACCTTGCTTTCCTTGCTAAGGTAGGAGGTTCCTTACTTTCACGGGTTACCTTACTCACTCCCGTTGCTCTCTGTGTGTCTCTCACTGCAGGTTGCTGCAAGTTTCTCCAAATAATAATAATTTTAAAAAACAACAACGGGAAGCAGTAAAGTGAGTCCCAGAGTCCAGACAACGAACGACGCAACCATATCACTAGACACTCCGTTTTTATTGTGCTGCTGGCACTGCTTCGGCTTCAGTCTATCACTCCGTACCTTACCTTTCTACCTGGACCCCCGGCCCCGACCCTTCTTGCCGTGTGCCTTACCTTGCCTTTTACCTTGCTTCTTTCTCTCTAACCTCTTCTTCGTCCAGCTTGCCTTGCCTCGTCCCTCTCTCTCTTTTTTTATCTCCTGCTAATCTTGTTTTTGTTGAACGGGGGGACCCTCTTGCTACTGCTCTGGTCTTTAGCCTCTTCTACTTCTTATTTTCCTTCTTCTTTTCCTGTTCCATCCACTCTGGTCTAGTGTGGTCTATGTGTACATGTATGTGTGAGTGTGTGCCAAATACCAAGCAACATCCCGTACAGTACAATACAATTTCAATACCGCCGGCCACACTCTCTTCCCTTCTCGCATCCATCCTTCCCACCACGGCCATCCCACCGAATCACGGAGCCCCATTGACCTCACCACCCACGAGCCCTTCATTTACACGGACAATCTGAAGTACACGTCGGCCCAGGGTCATCTCTTCCACCTTTACTCTATACCTACCTCCCATTTCCGCCGAATTTAATCCACCGACACATTCACCCCTCCGACTTATTCGTACCTACTTTGCCGAACTGACATCAACCTCGAACCCATCTCCGATCCCACGCCTTGATCTTCTGTGCCCACCAACTCACCCCTCCAAAGGTGCTACTGCTTCTGCCGCTGCTTCTCTGCTCCTGCAACCAAATCAGCACCTTGACGGTCGACGAACCCGATTTATACGGCCCTACCCCCCTTCGATTGCTGGACCACGAGCACGAATATCTTGGTTCGAGACTGCGACTGGGCCGATTTTCTAGGCGATTCGCCTTGCCATGGCCAGCCTGTAACGGAGATAGACACCCTCGAAAACAGCAAAATCACCAATCCTCAAGAGAACTGCTTTCCCGAGCCTGCGAGTACAGGAGGAAACCACCCGAAGGGAGCATTCATATAATTCCAGGTTGACTTCTGCCTGACTCAAAACAACCCAAAGCCTTCCGCCGAGCTGCACACACAAAAAACCCACGTCTTGTTAGGAAGGAAGCTTCTACAAGTGAATCATCATCAGAAGTCTGCCGCCTGCTTCAACCACAAATGTAGCAGCCCACGACCTTGATTCTCCTTGACTGACACCTTCGACCCGCCTTTCTCTCTCTCCTACCCTCCTCCGACCTCTCTTCAACCTCTGAAAAACTACTTCTTCCGCAACCCGCAACATCGCTCACGAGACCGTCGACCTTCGAACGACGAACCTCGAGCCCCCTCCGCGAGCCACCGATCAACTCCCCCCGCTCCGATGTGTTCGACTGCCGCACCTTTACCCTTTTACAGCCTCCCTCTGTCTCCTGCACACCCCTCGTCTTGTAGACGGAGCTACTCTCAGCAAACCTCTTCCCCGGCCACTCACTCGCAGAAGGATTCCAGGTTCAATCTTGGGGCAGGAGCTTCTCAGTACCGGGGCGGGCTTCGCACGCCGCCAACCGACGCCATGAGTGCTACCTACCACGCCCCTCACCTAGTCTCCTACGACAGCCATGTCCTTCCCTCATATCCTTCCTCAGTAGCTCAGGCAAGAGGACCTAAGGCTGTCATGGCCGAGGCCGCGAGAGCCCCTCAATACCCTCGGTATCAACAACCCGCCAAAACATACTCCCAACCTCAACAACCGGTAACAAATCCAGCCTCGGGCACTAGCCAATATTCAACTACCTCCCGACACTCGACTCGCCCGTCGACACCGACTTCAGGTGCCATTGGTAAGACAGATGGCACTTCATCACGGAAGGGCTCCTCGGCTCTTGTTCTGCACAGCCTGTCGATACCGAGTTGCATTAATCCCAAGGGTGGTAACTTGGCCGACTTTGCGGCACAGGTAAGCTGGACTCACCACAGAGAACCAGACCAGTAGTAGCTAACATGCCCCAGATTACGTGCCTGTTCTGGTTCGAGTCTATGGACACCCTGCGAATCGCCGAGAATATCCGGTCCCGCCCGTCGACCGCCACCGTACCTCGCCTAACCGAGTATGCGACCCCCTTCCCTCAGTTCAAGAAGTGGGCCTACAGCGTGCTCTCGACGACGCAGGTTACGCAAAATGTGATTCTGCTGGCCCTGCTATTCGTGTATCGATTGAAGACAACAAATCCTTCCGTCAAGGGTCGGTCCGGTAGTGAGTACCGTCTTTTGACGGTTGCCCTGATGCTGGGCAATAAGTGTGAGTTAGGGCTGCAATAGGGAGCGAGAAAACTTGTGCTGACAACTCTTAGTTTTGGATGATAACACCTACACAAACAAGACCTGGGCTGAAGTCTCTGGCATCACCGTCCAGGAGATCCATGTCATGGAGGTTGAGTTTCTCAGCAACATGCGCTACAGCCTGCTGGCCACCAAGCAGGAGTGGGAGGAATGGCTCGTCAAGCTGTCATGCTTCTCGGAGTACTACGAGCGGGCCCAGAAGCAACCGACTTCGCCCCTGAACAAGTCCTTCACCTCGCCGGTCCCTTCGCCTATCGCCGCCGCGCAGCCCGCAGTCTCGTTCCCGCCCCTCACGCCCTCTGCCGCAAACGTCTACTCGCCTAGTACTCACATGCAGAGCAACACTCAGGCCTGGCCCTCGACGTATCATCACAACCCACAGGTGTCACCACTTTCTGGCAAGCACGTCTCGGGTATGAACATGAATGCTCGTAAGAGAAGCTCGGAGGAAGATGTGGCGGAACCTCCAGCGAAGCGACTTAGCAGGCAACCCAGTGCGATGCCGCCTGTCGTCAGACCCATGGCTGTCAACGAGCAGCCCATGCGTCTGCCCGTACCGAATCTGACGCTGAATACCAACCCCGCACCATCACAGACACCAATGTACCCGGCCACGACGACCTATCCGGCACAGCAACACGTCTCTTTGCCGCCCTTGAGCAACGGCGTCCGTGCTATGGCGACAGTGTTTAACCCTACTACGACAGTCTCAATGCCGCAGCTGCCCATGCCAGCCACCACCTCGATGCCGCAAGCCTCGCTTACGCCCTCGAACGTCCCGATGCATCCCAACATGGGATACGGCACCCCGACGAAGAGACACAGCCCAGGAAGTCTCTCTGTGTATGCGTCTTCCCCCCTCGGGGAACAGTTCCCGACATCCGTCATGCACACCCCGATCTCGCATACGCCCATGTCACACTCGCCGAGCGTTTATCTTCAACAACGACCCAGCCCGTACAAGCCTATCCGTCACGTCAACACACTACTCTATCCTCCACCGTCGGCTTCTCTCAACGAATACCATTTGCCTACGACGCAGATGCACTACCAACCTCTTGGGCGGCGTAACGACCTGCGAACCGGTGTGGTTCCTGAGTTCATGCATGCACCCTACAGAATGAGCGCTCACATGCCGCAAATGCCCCATGGTCTGCCGCAAGGACCTTTCCCGAACTAGAGGCTTGGGAATCGAATGAACCAGCCACCATCATTACCAACATACACTCCACGGATACAGTATCCGGAGGATAGATCTTTCAACTCATTTTTTTAAGCATTGCATTGTCCAAGGCGTTGGGTCAGGATCATTATTTTTAATTTTATGAGCGGACATGGAGGACTGGGGGAAACTTGGGGAACCTTGGGGAACCTTGGCAAGGAAAGGGACGACTCTCATGGATCAACCGTGAAAATTGCATCAGGCGGAGTTATCTTTTTCTCTCTCCCCCTACTTTTGTGCTTTCGGGGTCACAGGGACGTCAACAAGGCAAGAAAGAGCAAGGGCCTTTCAGGTTTGTGGATAACCTGCCAGACGATGCACCTCGCCAGCTCGGCTTTGCCCACGAGCGGAAGCGATGGATTTTCTTGGGTTCTTCCGAAGAGGCAAAAGGGCCTTTCTCGGCGTAGATAGAAACCAAGCGTCAGCGATGACGGTGAGATCACGAAAGATCAAACGAATCAAGTCAAAAAAGTAAAAGCAACAGTAAAAAGCAAGTGATTGTTCCATAAGGCATTGTGATGTTTGTGATATGATGCATGTGATTCCTAGATGAATCAATGTGAAGGTGATGGCCACAAGTCTGTCGGTGATTTTGGGCTATTGAGGGTTTGGGGGTGCGACCCAATCAGAAATGGACAGCGACATTGCAGGTTTGGTGATGTTTGGTTGGTTGAAACCAGATACTGTGTGAATGTTGGCAATTCTGGGTATTTTGTACGGTACGCTCTGGGTACGTACCGGTAATATGGTGGTGAGACGACAAAAGTTGACATGCTGTGTCGATGGCACATATCTACAACCTCTTCTCTGGCTCTATGCAAGTCTTTGGGGAATGACTATTGTAGGTGACATGCCTGTTCCAAAAGGGTTGTCAGCCAGATAGATCCTTTTGCGGACGGTTTATTCACGAAATAGTAGGGACAGCAAAGGTTACGCTTCATCGGAGATGGCTGTTTAGAACCAGATGCCCGCAACATTCGCAACTATGTAAGGTGAAAGCACCCCCCCTCCCCCCCCCCTGACTAAGTATCAAACTCCATCAGAGGAAATGACAGTCGGAGATAAGTCTGTAGCTGGGAAGAAATGGTACCGTAGCCGCCCTGTAAGAGTTATGAACATTTACCGTCTTTTAATCATTTCTCTTGCCGAGCACACGCGAATCAAGGCAAACCGGTGGCCTATCATTCATCATACATCTACCATCTATTCCTACCAGAATACTCACCAAAAAGAACAAGACAAGTGTTAGTGGGTGCTCACTCGGCAACTCGTAGTACGAGCTTGCCTTAATCCTGTAACACCCATCGAGGGCTAAACGGCGAGATGACGTTCGGCATATCCAAGAGGTCCAAAAGATCCAAGAGCTTAGACGACGCAAGGGACGAGAGCACAAATGATCGCGAGCTCGTTCCTATACGTCGCTTGACGTCTCCGAGTTTCGCCATGGCCACACGCCTGGGGCCGGCGGATATCGACATGGCCGCGGTATGGAAGTCCGTCGAAGCCCCGCGAAGCACAATCACAGTAGACAAATCCAAGTTCTACCACCCTTCGGGACCCTTGGCCGATGACGTCTTCTGGATGCCGCTGGCCTCTGGCGATGTTGGCCATTGTTCCCGGGACGGATTCCGCATCGACAACGAATCTTGCTCTTCCCGGGTGTTATACCGCGTCAAGGAGAGGAAGCACCTGACCAAGGGCTTGCTCATGCACTACGGGAGCCTCACAATCGACTACCACCCATCTGAATCAGTTAGTCGATGCTTTGTAGGGTTCGGGGCAAACGCTGAACATCGCCTCATCATGATGTTGAAGACGGACTGCCAGCAAGCTGCGGTAAAGGTCACCGCTTGCATGGCTAGTTTGTTGCATAGCAAGCTCCAGCGGGAGGGTAGCTTGATGTGGTTGAAGCCGGGCGTGGTCGCCGATAAGTTGGAGAAAGCGGCAGACTCATTGATCGACGTTGCCACGTTGGTTGACCGCTTTACCCAGACGATGAGAAAGCTCTATCAAGGCAAGGATCGAGAGGGTGGTATGCCTGCTGCATTCAAAAAGGCTCTGTTGCTGCTCGGCCTGACCAAGTGGCATCGCATCCACCGCGCCATCAATGCCATCCAGTGCCTCAAGAAAGCTTTTCAGATTGCGGCGGACACGGATGGACATGCGAGGAGCAGCAGCAGCAGCAGCAGCAAGGCTCAGTGGTGCATTGCGGCCAACGTGTATGGCATGTTGGGTTGGAGGCGAGCACCAGCCAGCCTCGCTCAGCAACAAAACGTGTTATCCGACGTATCGACGTCGCTCGAGATCCTTGGCAAGATGGACTGGGCCAACTTCCAGACGAGGAAGGATGTGGAGGAGAAAATGGAACGAGCTGGCGTGACTGTCAGCATCACCAAAGAAGCCAACTTTACTTCTGCAACGTTCCGAACTCTGATGCGATTTCTGCAACACCGATCGATGATATTACTGGAGGGCGATGACGAATTTGGTGACGCAGAAGTTGGAGGGCCACAGCAAGAGCTACGAAGCTGGACAGGGGAAATTCTGCCTGCCCACTTCCGGATGTTAAAGAGCATGCCGTGGGTAAGGCATTGCTGGGCTCCAGATGGCACCTTCTTGACGGTATTGTCACTACCTACAGTGGAGGTGTAAGAAGAGGTTTCGAGATCCGTCAGATGAGGCTGATCCGAAAACGAGACGTTGTTGTGCCAAGACATACATTGAGAAAGGTGTGGTAATTCAAGGCGATTGCGTCGTGTTGGGTGACGTTTCAACATATCAGGCTGAGACGTTCGTTTGGCTGGACCAGTGAGCTGGGACGACAACGTATTAGACGGGTTGTGGGTTACACCGAGTCGGTTGCCGTGGTGGTCGATCAACATTGATCACAGCGATAAAGCTGACATGCCAACAATTGTGTGACACAGACACGAATGCCATGATTTAACCACCAGATAGAGACATGACTGTAAGTAAACCCATCTTGGTTCTAGGTCGTTTTGATAACCGGTTTGCAGGTGACTAGAGGCAGAGAGTTTGGGGCGAGATGGGACGAAAAAGGATGCGACGGTTGACTGGACGACGCGGAGAGTGCGTACCCACGTCAGTGACAGCGGGAGTTTGCTGTTCTTTGCAAGGTTTGTCTTGTTTCGATGTTAGATTTTTTCCTTTCTTGACGCAGGGACGGGTATCGCGTCGCAACCCCAACTCAATGTCTTTGTTTGACGATGGTGGAATTTGGAAACGGCACGGCGTGAGAATCAAGGTCAGACGGATGCACGGAATGCACCCCGTCTCAGAGAGAGAAGAGGGTGACAATAGCGTCGACTGGCACTCAACGGCATTGAATTGGAGAGGTGCGACTGCGACTGCAACTCGGACAAGGGACGAGTTACATAAGCACTCTACACAGCATGGAAGATCCAAAAAGTGGCTGGACAACTGGCGGCAACGGGGATCTCACCTGCTCACACTTCTTGCCAGACGGGGCGACGGGGCCTCGTGTTCGAGCTAGCGGGGAAGAATGGACTTCACTTCAATGGCTTGGGCAGGGGTAATGCTGCTAAATTGGGATAATTTGCCGAGAATACAGGCTTCAACGCTCCAAAGGGGGATGGAAGGACACAAGGTAGCCAGTTAAATGCCGGGAATGAAGGCATTCTGTTGTATTTAATTGGGGAACATCCAAAAGCCACCAGCCACCTTTTGACCTGCAAAGATTGCCATCCGCCCCACTCCGTCCCGTTCCTGGACCGGGAAGGCGCCTCTTACGAGATCCCCCAGTGGTCCCCTTCTCCTTCCAGCTGGGCTTCCTTCCTTGCTGTGTGCTACCCGCCTGCCGCCTTGCCCGCTCTTGCCCGCCTCCTCCTGGCACTTTGGCACTTTGAAATCCTGCACTTGCCGCGCTTGTTCTGCACCTGCAGGGCCTCAGAGTGTGCAAAGTGGGCTCCTTTCCTCCCTTTTCCACAGCAACGCTGCTCCAACGTTCCCCCCGTTCAGCTTCAGCTTGTCGTCGGACAGCAACCGTTCACTGTCACTCGCTCCCAACCACCAGCCCGTTCATCAGAATCAGGTTCTTGCCTAGTCATTCGTTGTCGCACCCTCGCTCCGTTCCATCTTCACCGTTAGGTTGTCGTTGCTGCCTCCGTAATATCGTCATCGTCGACAGGAAACAACTTCCAAGAAAAAGCCCTCTCCATCGCCCTTGATCTCGGACTCCTGATTCTTAGCCATCTCCCGTCACGGACCCCCGACGCCTCAATCTCCACGATAAACCCGCCCGCGCTCCATCCGAGTGACCTCCCTTGATATCCATCGAATCATCCATTCCTCGTCCATTCGCACCATCGTCCCCTTCGTTCGCGACGACACCACCGGGCTTCGCCGGACATCTCGCCCACACTCTCGACGAAACACTATCCATATCACGTCGAGTCCGTCGTTTGGCCTCGACTCGGTCCATCGCTCGAGTATCCTTTCGCTGCTACCCCTGTTGAGAACTTTCTTCGACTCTCGACGAAATCTTTCAAACGCATACCTCGCGCACTGCTCGAACGATTCGAAGCTGCCACTCCGCCATCTATCTGCCCTTCCGAAAAGCCTCATCGCCGTAGGCCGGCTGTAGCCCATCATGTCAGGCTTCGGTGACTTCACCAACATCTGCCACATGGCGCCACTGCCATTGTGCGCATCCATCGGCCCCATCACGGAGGTGACGAGCGGCGTTGGTATTGAGCCGGACTGCTATGCGCGTAATATCGAGTTGGCAAATACCATCATTTTTGAAGGTGCTGCCAGCGCCATGCACATTGTGTCTCTGCTCATGACCGTCGTCATGATCTTGCACATTCGTGGCAAATTCACTGCTGTTGGTACGTTAGCCCCCAAGACCCTTCATCTTCGACGCCAAAAAACTGACGAGACAATCATAGGTCGCAAGGAAATCCTCATGTTCTTTTACATCTATATGCTTCTGAGTTTCATCTCACTCTGCGTCGATGCAGGTGTCGTCCCCCCTGGATCCGACCCCTACCCGTACTTCGTGTCAGTTCAAAACGGCTTGTCATCGGCTCTGATTACTTGCCTGTTGATCAACGGCTTCGTCGGTTTCCAGTTGTACGAGGATGGCACCTTCCTCTCCGTCTGGCTCCTGCGTGTCTGCTCTCTGGTGGCCTTTGCGATATGCTTCCTGGTCTCCCTTGCGACCTTCAAGTCATGGGCTGGCCTGGGCCCCACCAACACCGTCGGCCTGTTCGTCGTCCTGTACTTGCTCAACGCTATCGAGCTCTTCGTCTATGTTGCCCTGCAAATACTCCTCGTTGTTAGAACTCTCCAGGACCGTTGGCCGCTGGGCGACATTGCCTTTGGCATCTTCTTCTTCGTCGTCGGCCAGGTGATCCTGTACGCTGTGAGCACACAGATTTGCACCGCCGTTAGCCATTACCTCGACGGACTGTTCTTCGCCACCATCTGCAACCTATTGGGTGTCATGATGGTGTACAAGGTATGTGAACTTGAATATCTTGAAATGACCACAAATACTGATCCGGTTTCGCAGTACTGGGACTCCATCACCCGCGAGGATCTCGAGTTCTCAGTTGGAACTAGGATGAACAACTGGGAGGTCAAGGAGCTGCTGCCGGAGGAGGACCGCCGTGCGACTGTTTACGACAACGACCCCTACAGCCAGACTGGTGGCTACGATCACTCCTACTCGCCCTCGCCGGCACCGGCGCGCTACTCTGCGAGGTACTGATGCAGTATCGAGGTTGACAGTTGGGGATGTGCATGACAACGCCCAGACTTTGAATGGGCGTTTTCCACGGCGAAATTTTACGACAGGAGTCCGGATCTTGCCGTTATGCAGGAGATATTTTTCGTACATCTGTGTTACTTTGGGGATGACGACGACTTGGGCATTGAGTCAGAATGGCGTTTGGGGGGAAAAACTGTCTTTACAGGTCGCGCTGCATCCCGAGACACGGCCGATTTTGAGTTTTTGGGCTTAGGCGGGCGGCCGCGGCGGGGCCGGTTGTAGATGGATCAACGGTCATCAAACGAATAGGTTAATAACGTTAGCACGTAAAGGTATCGATGCCCATGGGTGTCAGTAGTACATAGTTTAATTCAATCAAGATACAGCAAATTTGAGCGCGGCGGGTAGAGATTACGAGTCGTTAGCCCGGGGAGACCAACGAGGTGAAGGGTCTGAAGGGTATGCAAGCCGCGTGGTTGTTCACCAGGGGGCCAGTATGAGCGCAAGATGACACGGATGAAGTCTTGTCCCGGTGAACGTCTCATTCTACCTAGTTCGTTCCGAATTCGAATACAGGTCGAGGGAGCAATGGGTATCGATTAACAGGTCTACAGAAGCTCGGGCCAGGCAAAGTGGAGCATTACTTCCACACACCAGCCGTACCCTACGCACAGACCAGCTATGCACCCTTCATTATGGGAAAAGATAGAAAAACCGCCGCATCAACCTCAATTCTAGAGTTAATCAAAATCTGACAATAGAAATCGACGAATCAGGGCAAATTTGGGTGCGGGCGGCTGAACATGGATGTGTATCCTTGAGCAGGCGGTGTAGACTTAGGTTATTTTAGTTCGAAATATGTTGGTCAATATGGACTTTGACATAGACAAGTTGGAGATTTTTTTCGGCAGCACGTGACCAGTACGTACCTCTGGCTCCTTCCCCGGCGTGCACGCAGTAAAACTTTTAGCGCTGCGTAATGGCAGTGGTTCGAGCTTCTGTAGACCTGTTAATCGATACCCAGCAATGTCTTGGCATGTGTAGACACTATGTGAGTGCAATAAGGGTATATGTGGTAGTTTGACTCGAACTCAGTATAGAGTTTGGCCTGCCATGCGCAGTATTTAGTAAACGGAAAGGGGGAGAAATCTGGCATGAGCTCGGTCAAGCTTTGGAAAGACTTCAATCTAGGCAAAGCAGAAGAGATGGACTGTCGTTGGTGGGCTAATTACGACGTGTAATCCTTTTCAGATCCCGGGCAAACTTTGAATCAGAGAGAGCAGTGAGCAGCAAGCGAGCAATCTCCCAAGGTAGCCCGCAAGATAGAGTCACATCCACTGCCCGAGCAGCACGAGAGGCTCGGGCTCATGCCTTGGGGGGGAGATGCTGGGCAGCTGGGGAAAGATTATATCTTAGTGGTAGATTGCTAGACACGGACAGACAAGCGTTGACAAGCTTGAATGAAAAGCTACAAGAAAGAAGGTTTTTTACGATCTGCGTCCGTGTCTCCAAGGTAGGATTTGGATTGGAAGGGGGAAGGGGGGAAGTGGAGGTGAAGTCCAGTCTGAGAGGCACGGAGACCGGAACACGGAAACGAGGCCGAGTGAAGTTTTGAGTAAGGTATCCGTACTGGCACACTGGATATCCGTCGGTGGTACAGATAGTCACAAGTCACACATCTTCTGTTGGTCAGTGTCGGGAGTCCAGATCTCATCGCATCATTTCAGAATGAAGGCGGTTGAACGGTTGAGAACCTAGGCTGGAGGTATTGATATTGATGGAGGGGACGAGGTACCTTAAGAAGTGGAAGGGGACCCAGGTCAAGGTGCCTTATCGGGTTCATCGGATCTGTTATCGGCGTGCGCTAGCCCGAAGCTAAGGGGCTTTCCTGAGTTTCCTCGCACTGGCATCCAATCACGTGGTCTAGGTGCGACAATGTAATAATCAGATTCTAGGTGTCATGAGACAGGGTACGTAATAAGATGGGAGCCCGCATTTCAATACGGAGTACAATTGAGGGAATGAGTTCGTTATCCGTAGAATGGATACTCATTATCTACCTTACCCTAGGTAAGGTAACTATGGAGGAGAGGTAAGCACCTTGAGCATCCTGCCGATTGCGCAATATCTGCCCGGGCTTCAATGTCGAACAATATTTTCTAGGGAGGCACGAGGGATTGGGGAAAGTACCTAAGAAAAGGTACATGCACAATGCATGGGCCAACACAGGACCTGAGGTACCTAGGTAGCGCTACCTTAAGTATGGAGTACTGGGTAAGCGACAAGGCATTCGTATCAGTTTAGGTTACCTCAACTATTGATACTATCTAGCAGGGTAATGCACCCGAAGATAGAACAAGGGAAGGACGCAATGAATGTCGATTGGCTTCCTCTTCACTCTTGTGCGTGTAGTTCGTACCGGTGGGGGCAACTGCCAGTCCGTTTCTGCCCTTTTGCCAACACTGAGGCAAGTGCGGACTTTCATAGGTAGTACCTGACCCGATGGTGCTGGCCTAGGTACTCCTACTATTTCGGTATGTACTCCGTATATTCGGGTTCTATCCGTAAATCGGCATTGATTACCTTCCAGGTTTTGTGACGGTGGCCATGCGGTTGATTTAGGTACTTGGATTAAGTATGGTACATAAGGCAATAGATGCCTTAGGGACTAGAAAGGCAGGGGAATTAAGCAAATTGTTGCTGCTTTTCCCAGCCCAAGGTGCCTGTCATTTGCTATTGTCCATTGTTCCGGCCTTTCTCGCCTTTCTTTCCCTTTGTTGAATTTTTCCCCTTCTCTCCCTCACACGGCACAAGACCCCCCTTTCCCCCAGACACATCTTTCTAGGTTCTAATTACGGAGTAAGGCCACCACGCATTGGATTCGATCTGATTCAATCCAAGGCCCATTTTGCTTGGCTTCCACCCCCACTGACAAAACATTTTCCGCAACCGACTCAGTTCATCAGGGAATTGTCGATAATCGGATAACTCGTAACAGCCGACCGCCGACCAACTGCAGTAACTGAAGGCTTGCCCCATCATCCTTCGCACCTTACACATCTCCGGGCCACCTCTCTTTCCGCCCGGTCCAGCATCCTATCTATTCGTTCAAACACTAGTATCTGCCAGTATCTGCCCCCCTCCCTCATCCCTTCCATTGCGTCGGCACAGGGGAGTAAGCGTCTAATTTATTGCGGAAGATCACGTGCAAACACGCGATATTCATTACCTGACGACTAATCGCCTTCCAATACTGAGTAGCGTCTGAGGTGCAGTCCAGTGCAGTCGACTATCTTACTCACCTATAATCCCAACGACCCAATCTCATTCGCACCTGCATCGCATCACGTCTTTTTGTCTGCATCTACGACAGCAAATCATCACTGAGCAGCAACCCCAGGCCTTTTCTGCCCTCGACATTCCGGCCCATCACTTCCCGGGCCATCTCGCTCATCTCATCCATCCATCGACCCAGCAGTAACACCTATTGGATTGTCATTTTCCGACCGTGTGCTGATGGTATCCGCCTGTCGCCAAATTCCATCGGGCCTATAATCCGCGTATCCTCAACGACATCGACGCACCTAAGTACATTAGTCGATTTCTGGTCCCCTGCCACCCACGCTACCTTTCTATCGCTCGGAATTTTCCAATACGGTGACCTAGGGACTGGTCGTACAGTACACTAACAGCCACCGTCTTGCACATCTGTGTCGCTTGACGACTCGCTCACCCACATCCCGCTGCCCGTTGCAGCCAAGTCCTATCCGTATCTTTTGACGCTATCGCTTCATCTCCCATCTTCACCCTCACCTCACCTTCGACCAATTTCAACTGTCGCCTAACGTTTTCACGTCACGTCGGCTATTTCCTTCCGAACCCTGGACGTGGATTACAGTTACCACTACGGATACGGATGCCTACCTACTTTACCTTAACTTTGCCTTCCCCGGTCTGACTTTCAGAACCCCTCTCCTGTTGCATCGCATTCCCACACCCAAATCTTGACACCACCTCACCTCACCTCACCTCACCTCACCTCACACTCACGGGCCATAGCGCCGGCATAACACACCCCAAGGTCGCCGCGGATTGATCGACGCTCGTGACATCTTCGGCTTATCCACAGATTCCACACCCCTGGCCTGGCCTGGACGGACTGTTGCCGCATTTCATTTCCATTCAAAATTCCCCATCTCCTTCAATGCGAAACCCCAGTCTTGTTTGGAACGGTCGCACCCTCGTGCTCAAGTAATCTCGATTTTCTGCCCGACCGATCTCGAGAGTCTGCGCCCCGTGGCTCCAACTTTGGATGAACCGCACTGCTGCGTTTATCGACGCATTTCACTCACACGTCCCCTCAGAACCCGCACCTTTCATCTGCTCACCACCACCACCACCACCAACTCCCTCCCAATTGGGGCCTCTTCACCATGCCATTCGATCCTGGAGATGACAGGAGGACGGTCACCCAGGATGAAGAGCAATACTGGCAGTCCGTGCGCCAGGTGCATGAGCAGGACGACGAGAACCTCGACGCAAGCTATCTCAACAATGCCAAGTACTACATGGCACGCCTGACCGAACTGAACTTGGAGAAAAATGAGCTCGAGCGACGTGCGCTAGAAGTTCACCGCGCCATCACACGGGAACATAAGCATCTCGAAGAGCTTAATGACAGATTCCAAAACACCAGGAAGGATATGAAGATCCAACGCGAACACCACCAGATGCAGTTGGCTGCCTGGTTTGAGGAGCAACGCCGGAAAGAGAATGATGAACGTGTTAGCATTGCAGCTGCAGCTCTTGCTGGCGCCGCCCCGCGCCGCGATTCTGGGCCTGTTGAACCGTCACATCTTAGCAAGCTCGCCAGCGCCGGACTCAACGGCATCAACACCAACGGAGAACATCGGAATGGCGCCGTCGTGACGATCCCCAGTCATGTCAGACCCAACCAACCTGCACTGACCATGATCATTGACGCATTGGGTCGTACCGTTGGACCAGTGAACCGTATCGTATCGAGCAATAGAATCGTCATATATCTGTCCAGCTTACCTCAAAAACGACCTGTCCAGCTTCGCGACGGCGTCTCCTTCGGCCAGGACGACTTGAGGGCCTTCGAAGAGGCGGAGGACAAGTGGAAGGGCGCCATCATTCAGGCCACAGGCCTCGTCCGGAAACAATCGCAGCAATGCACCCAGTGTGCCAGCGGGAGGGGTCCCTTTGCACAATGCATCGGCCTCGATATGCCTGAATTCCAGGCATGTGGTAATTGCGTTTGGCAGAGCTCGAACTGTTGTGACGTCCTGTCATCAATAAGTCAAACGCCGCCCACGAGGGGATTTAAGGCGCTCAACGCCCAAGATGTCTACAACGAACGAGCCGCCAACGGCAGCTTCACCAACGGCACTGCGACTCCCGTCGGCGGCCAGAGTCGGCCTGGCTCCCGAGATAAGAGCTTTGCCGAAGGCTCAACAGCTACTGACGAGATGGAGGAGGATATGACTCCAATCACCAAGGCGAACCTCTTGCTGAAGCACGACGGAAAAGTCTTTACGCATCCAGAGTGCATGGCCGGCGTACCCCTCAACAAGATTGATCGCACCCACGAGTACTGGGACCCAGCCTGGCCGGATATCGTGCCCATGATCGAGCCGACATTGCAGTCATGGCGAGACAAGCTGCAAACTGCTTTGGAAAAGGGGCAGACTAGCATGAAGTTCCAGCTGGGCAGACAGGTGAACCGAGGAGAGACGATTCTGAAATTCTTGAGCGACGCAGACTTTTGCCCCTATCAATTGGTGGGGAAGAAGTATATGATGACCCGACTGGTTTCTTACGACACCATTTTTCGCCTTGCTGACACTTTGCGAACCCTAGAAGGCTTCAAGACTCTTGACATTACCCCGCTGGAATGGTTTCGTCAACGCCTGCAGGAGCTCATCATCTTGGACGGACCCGACTTCAACCTGGCCAAGACGGTGCATGACTTTTACCACGATTCAAAGTACGTGGCTCTGAGACTCGCCAACGGCAAAAAGAGCATCGGAAGACCGTCGGGAATGAAGATGGGGCCAAAAGACTCGCCCAACTCAGCCAGGGGCACCCCGAATAACAAGAAGCGCAAGCTCTTCATCAACGAAGAGTATCCCGCCGCATCTCAGCGCCCACTTGCCCCGACACCGACGCCTCAGTTCCAGTCCCAACCTCAAGTTCAGCCTCAAGTCCAGCCTCAGGTACAGCCTCAGGTACAACCTCAGGTCTATCCACCAGTCCATCCTCCTGTCCAGTCTCAGTCTCAGTCTCAGCCTCCGCCTCAGTCTCAGCCTCAGCCTCAGCCTCAGCCACAAAGCCAATTACCACCAAGCCAACTTCAATCTCGGAAAAGCGAAACGCCGCTGAGTGCGCCGCCGACGCCTGAGCTTGCCAGGCAATCGAAGAAGCTTAAGACGGCCAGAATTCCTGGGAAGCCCAGAGATCAGGATCTAAACTACGACGGCTTCACCGACACCGATGATTACAGCGGCGATCATATCGGCCAACATGATTGGGCATTGAACCGGATCAAGTCCAGACTGAACAGCGTTAGCACCGGTGTGACACAGTACTGGCACTGGATCCCGGATAATGGCGAACAGATTTTTGAGCATCAAGTGCTTGCAGAAAGCGACACTTTGACCTGGGGCATCTACGCCAAGCCGGTGAATTTCCACTTGGAGTTGGAACACATCCAGGAGCTGAAATGGGCCACCGACACTTCCAAGGTCATTGTGGTATGTAAGGATGGCGTCGTGATTTCGCCCGATGGCGAGCCTAGAGGCGACCTCTTGGCCGAATTCAAGCGGGACCGCACCAAGAGACGTTTCTTGGTCTTTTGCCGCAAGAAGGGCATCGAATTGATCAAAGTTGAGGCGTGAGTATTCCACACCATATGAGAACAAGCAAGACAGCTAATACAACACTACAGGGACGTCATACAGAAAGCATGGGATGCGTATGATTCGCCAGATGTCCCGGCGATGCCGGACTCGGAGATTGAGTAAGATAATGACGAGGATTTCTTGATGCCGGCGACGGTCCAAACGGAAGAAAGGAAGTGGAGGTCTTTCACATTATAAGGAAGGAGAATGGCGGAGATACCCCTGGTTTCTGATTTCATTGGGTGTCAATTATTGCGGCTCTAGTGGAACTTGAGCCTGCATTGGCGTTGGAATGCTTACCATGGGAGCCATTTGGTCATGCCGCCAGACGAGATGGTTGCTCGAGTCCCCAGGCAGCATGTGATGGCAATGAGATACCAAGGATTGGCTGCTTGCCATAATTGTAATTGGGCGGACGGTGCTGCCTGGGACACTTTAGACGTGGTGGAGTTTTTGGTTTTCGTTTGGGAGAAGACGTACCTTTGAGCAAGTCCTACGCTTTGCAGTTGGTCATTCAGATTTTATGCATGGCTCTAGATCAGAGCCCCATCTCTCGTCAATGGACGGGATAGATAGAAGCGTTGAGAGCGGAAGCAAACTTATTTACTAAAGGCCCAGAGGCCTCTTACCCTTGACCCACGACCTTGACAGCGAGACATGATGGTTCCACCGGAGGTGCCCAAAGACACGTCGGTTGACGGTTTTCGAACGATGGGCGTCATGCGGCTCAGTGGCGCCCGTTTGACAATCTCATCTCACTTTCGCGGATGCTACGTCCCGGTCCATGGCATCGGGCTGTGACATCTCGTATTCCGGCACTTCATCCTCGGCTGCGCATCCGATTGGTAGACGACTGTGCCGTGAGCTAGAATACAACGTGCCCAACCCCTTTGGCCCGGGAAGGACCATCACATATCAGAAAGACCAGTACGATGCTGGATGAGGTCAAGCTGGAGCCTGGATGTCTGGTACTGTGCCGCGGACGGAGCCGGGGGCCGGCATATATTACCCCATTTGTTTCCGCCGGATGACGGCCATTGCTCGAGCATCCTTTCGCCCAGTGGTATTTCTGTTCCCGTCTGTGTACGCCCACCCACCGACTTTTCGATCATGTTCGAAACCGGGATCTTCGTTGAGATATCTGCCCAGACGGCTGGCAGCCGTGCTCTACTGGTGTTATGGACGACGAAATGTGCCCTGGCATTTGCATTAGTTGTGCCTATCCGTTTGTTTCTGATGTATCTCTTGAAGTTAAGATGGGTATGCGGCACGGAGAACAACATAAAATAAGTCAGTCGGTCTTGTTTGCTTGTGATAAAATGTCGGCGAGCCGCATGTCTCCTGTGCGGAAGTCTGAGATTCCGACCGCTCTTACGCCCCTAGGACCTCCATCCTGAGAGCCTGGGGGCAATCTTTGACCAGATCAAATTAGATTCCTTCCCGTTCCGCCTACTACAAACTTTCCATTCGTGGATTGCTTTCAAGCATAGGGCTGTGGCACCTTCAACTTACAAAGATCATCATTGAGATCCCGGATTTCCTGAAAACCTGTTCCTTGCGAGTGCGGGATGCTATCTGCCGATGTCTTGCATTTTTCCGGATGTCAGGCGGTGAGGTTGTCAGCTTTGATCATTCTCCATGGAGGATACTCTGATATTACCGGTGAGTCCCCCGCAGACCACATGCTTGCTGCTTTCCTCTCTTCTTCACCTCCTATCCTTACTCTCATCCTTCAACTCCATCAGCCGACAAAACGTGGCCCTGGGCCCCAGGCGTAGCCCAGCCCTGGCGGTGAAGGCTCGTCTACCTATAGCCAGGCAGTCAACACTTCTGCCACTAAGAGACATTTTGTCCTGCTCTGAACGGCGATGTTCCCTTCCTACCGGTCATCCTATAATCGACCTATCTTTTCCCTCCTCTCTACATCAAGATCCCCCGGTCCACGCTTGTATTACAGCCACACGATACAATATCCCGCGAAATCTCAGACCAGCCATGTGTTCTACGATATCAAGGACAATGCGACATGGAATTCCGTAAGGTCGTCTCCTCTCTTCTGAGAATCATTAGATTCTTTCAGATTGCCGTCTCTTCCGTCTCTTCCTACATTACCCCCTCCCGCCTCCACAGACCATTTCTTTGGCAGGCCTGCTTCGCTGCTTGGTCCTGCTGCCATATATCACGGCACGGCTTAGTTAACGTGTGTAACTTCTCGTTGCTGCTCTGCCGTGATCACCCAATCAATCATTGGGCCCTCCGGTCTGCGAAGTTGGCGGGAGACTCCGGGCTGGTACGGGGATGCGATCCATCGGGGCGGCGGCGGTATCTGAAGAAGCGAAGGACATTAGGCGGCGTGCGTGTAATAAGTCGCACTTCTAGGTTTGGTATGCCTGCCACAGGATCTTGGGAACACTGCACTCTTCCTGGACTCGTATATCTCACCAACCGACGGGCCCTGGGTCCGGGGCTAAAGACGACAACTTGGACACGGAGTTCCGACTACTATCCGCCGGGCCCTTTGGCATGTAGCGCCAACGGTTATCAAGCGGGCACGCCCGGGTGGCGCTTCAAGCTGCAGACCAACAGCACCACGCTTCGTCTGGCCAACGTCTCTCGCCGTCCTGTTTAAGCATATGCTTGATCTGCCTAGGTCTGTGCGGTAGGTCAACAATTATCCCCAATCCATCGCTATCTCTCTTGCTCGTTGGGGTGTCTCGTTTGTTGCTGAACTGCGCTAACAGATCGAGCAGTGTCTTCGCAGGACCTGACTATTCCGGCATATAGCTGGCCATCTTCAACGAGAGGATTAGTCCTGTGCCGCGGACTCGAGTACGAGATTATCGTGCCCTGCTCTATCCGCGTCTATTCAGCCAAGCTTCCGCCAGTGTATATAAACCGAGTCGAAGGCTGAAGTCTGTTGCTTGGTAGGAAGCGCGGTAGCATTATCACACACAAGGGCGTGTACTATAACGTCGTGTGTGTTGTGTTCCCTGCCAGTCGCTCGAAACTTCACGTTAGACGCTCTCGTCGGGTTTGACGGGGGTATGGAGATGGTCCCGGGCATGACCGACGCCGATTCATCAACCAACAGGTGGCTTGACTCGTCAGTATCACCGGATTGGCTCTGGCTGTTCTGGCTTCCTGGTATCAACCAGCACCTGATCGCCGCGGATGGCAAGGCCTTGCAGAGAAATCCAGAGCAGGACAATATTGTGCTGTTCCACACCCGTGTTGCCCATCCAACTTTGGAGTGCCTCAAGTCGTTCATAGAATCGGAAACACACGACATCAAGAACACCTGGGAGCATCAACTGAGCCTCCCGTCTATCCCTCTACGCTTTATACCATGCACTCATCTTCCGTATCGTAAGTCTACACATCTCGAAGATGCTGTCATGAGCTGACGTTGTAATCTGCAGAACGATCCCCGGGACCAAAACCTGCGAACTGTTTCCCGAGACCCCAGTCCATCGTAGTGACAACGACGAAGTTCGCACAGCGGGCTGTCAATTGAAGCTTCAAACGTGGCAGGCCTGAGCTCTTCGCGGATCTCTGCTTGTGCCGCAGGATCTTCAGCTTGTACTTGCCAAGGGACGAGGAGTCGGTCGCCTCGTATTGGCGCGGCTGCTCGCGTATCCCCATTTGCTCCAGGGCCTCCTTGAAGTTGAAGTAGTTGGCTTCATCAGAGTCGAGCGCGAGTCCATCATCGTCTTCTCGGCAGTCAACGACTTCTTGTAGCTGAACTACGGCACGAGCTAAGGGAAAGGGGCATGCGGTGCCTTGTGCGCCCGTCGGGTGGGTTAGGGGAAGAGCCGGATAGCGATGGCCATCATAGCCATCTACAGAGAATCGAATGCTGGATCCAAACCTTTATCGCAACGTCAGTATCCAAAGGCCCAAGAGTAACCAAAACCAGAACAACAGAGGATACAAGGACTTCACAGAGGAGGGTCTGGTATGGATTCACTCTGCTTCGCCGTTTTGGAGCTCTCTAGAGACCCAGATAACGCCGGTCTCCAGTATTCTAACCTGCGATATTGCCGTCTCGTAGGAAACCCCAGACAATTGCTTGCTCGTGCTCCATGTCGAGCTTCCTCCCAAGTGTACTGCGTTCTTGGTTCCCTTGTACCAGGGACAACCGCGAGCAAGCTCAGCGGCCCACTTGGGTGGAGAGAGAGGCACAAGCTCATGTTCGCCCGCCGCATCAACAAATATCGAGGTCAAATTCGGCACTCAAACTACCAAGTTGCTGGGAGTATCAGTGTTTGGTTGGAAGGAAGTTGGTCGTCCTAACTGATCGCGGATCATGCGAATCATCAAAGCCGAAGCCCAGTGGAGCGAAGAACCTACTCCCCTCGCTAGCGATCATGTAAAGAGCCCGTCGCCGACGACTTCAAGACGAAGACCAACTGCTGAAAGTTTATAAAGCCTTGGTTGGCTACCATTTCTTAGCCGGAAGGTCGACGATGGAAAGCTACACTCAATGCCGCCGGCGAAGTTGATGCGACACCATCTCCCGCCAACACATTACGTTGAGATGAAAACGACTGTTGCTGTTCTGTTTGGGCTTCTTCGTGGACCGCATCCAAGGCCAAAGCAGTCCTGCCGACCCTCCCCCCCGGCTACTCGTGCTATCACTGAGGGCATACCGGTTCGTGTTACTGAACGGCTTTCATCCATTCTTTGCCTCCGCTCCTCATCTCAGAGCCTGATGGGAGTACGAGCGATGTTCGTCGCTGTGGGGCGTCTTTGCGTTTCCGCTGCGGCTCTACTGCCTTGATCCGTCGAGCCGCTTGTAGGCGCATCGGCCTCTGGCGGTTCGTGGAATAGCGAAGAAGATGTTCGCATCACCTGGGAGTCAGACTGCTCAGTACGGAGAGTCCTCTCCATCGCACCGCACGAGCCTCTCAACGACTGTACCTCTTCTTACCTAAAGTACTTTACACCAACATTCCTCCCCTCGACACTGAAGACTACGACACGCAATTGTCTCGAGCGAGTCGGTCAAGTACTGAAGAACTTAATTGCTGACAAGTTTTCTGTACCTCACGATGAAGTCGTACGGTTACTTGAACCCAACCAGAGATCAGTCGGGCCATCACAAGCTGGTTCTTATCTCAAGT